CCCCAAAACCCCAAAACCCCAAAACCCCATAAAGCATTCTGGTTTTTATTATTAAGAAATTAATTAATAATAAATTATAGATTATACTTAAGTTAATGAATCTCCACAGATCTTTAATTGTTTGAAATTTCTGATTTTTGCTGCGTAAACTGTCGCCTAAGTAAAAGCAACAACAGCAATCTATAGTCATTATTTTTCTTCCTCTTTTCTATCTTCCTCATCATCATCAAATTACTCTCCAGAACTAGAACTCTCAAAAGAGGTTCCACTTTATTTGATACTTCCGGACTCCGAGTCAGAATCAGACTCTGAAATGTTGCCAAAAATCTCGTTTAGCATATTGAGGTTCAAATCATCTGGAATAGGAACAGCCCCATTGATGAATGCGCTTTTCTTCCTATCTTTTACATTTTGCTTATTCTGGCGATCAGATTTATCATTAATTACAGGAAATCTCTTCATGCTCTTTCTTTCATCCATTTAAGAGATCTTATCTAATTCATGCATTGTCCCTTGGTTAGACAAATTTCCAACCTTAGGGCCAAACTAAAGTTTGCTGAGAGTAGCACCAATAGATCCCTAGGCATGATGAGACTGAGATCCTCCTCTCAACTTGCTCTAAAAATTGTTGCCGATCATTTGAGTGATAGATGAAAACGAGCCAATGCCAGAATTAGTTTGTGGGTTTTTAGGCAGTGAATTCCTGAAGTTACCAATGCTTTTGTCTTTAAAAGTGCCAAGCTTAGACAGATTTCTCATCTTCATACCAATATCTTTAGATATTTTAGTGTTAGATTTATGTTCTTGACTTTAGAATTAGGTCTAACTTTTAGTGCTAACTAGCTGAAACTTCTTGGATAATGCTTCAAGTGCTGTCAATTAACTCTTTATCGGCTCAGATTTGTTAGTACTCAATTATGATGGCAATTAGAGCGGGGATTATGGAGATTAAACAACTGTCTTCTTAATCTCTTTGTTGATTTCTCTTAAAGCTAATTTGATCCCTCTAGCAACCATGCTATTCTTTTGGACCTTTTGATTTGATTCAGTGTTAATCTTAACTCTAGTCATTATTCTGTTAAGCTGCTTCATAGTCAGTGACTACTAAATGCTTTCTCTGAACTTAGCTCTATTCTATTGCTATTATTAAGTTGTTTGCTAAGATGATTCGTCTGAGCCTAAATTTTCTTCATCAATTTACTATATTCCATTTATTCTATGATTTGAAGGAGGACTCTTTGACTTTAAGTTTTTCTTTTGAAAAGTGAGTTATTTTAAAATGCCTTTTTATAGCTTTTACTATAGAGTATTTTCTCTTTTTATATGATCGAATTGACTTGAAACTGATGATATTCGAGCTAACTTATTTTATATGCCTACTTCAAGCTTTGAAAGTTATGTGTTTCTAAGAATTTTTGTTAAGTGGTGCGAAAGACCTTTCTCTGGTGTTGTATGATTCTCTTTATCTCTCTTCTTTTGCTCTTCCTCCTCATCTTCATCATCATCCTCTTCTTATAACTCCTCCTCATCGTCTTCATTTGTGGCCTCTCTAATCTATTCTATATCATCATTTTCATCGCATTCTTCTGTTATAATGCTATCTTCTGGATCTCCTATATTTTCCACATGCTTTTTCATTGATATTTAATGCCTAGCTCTTTTGATTCCTCTTTTTGATTGCTGTGTTAGCAACTTCTAAATTTTCTTAAGCTTTTCATAAGCATGAACTTTCAAGTTGCCTTGAATTGTTGGGAAAATATTGCAGTCAATAGCAATATGACCATTTCCTTCACAAAGATAGCAGGTAATGCCTAGTAGTTTAAGATTTTTGGGATCTTCTTGAATGCTCTTTTTTATATTGAGATAGTTTTTATGCACTGCTGGATAGTTTTAGGCCTGAGTTAAGAAATCCTTGATGTCTAAGATCAGTACTTCAGCGAAGTTTTTAGATCTAGCTGTAGCTTTTCTAGTAAAATCTGAGAAAAAGGCTATCTCTCCAAGGTATTCATCAGTTCCTAATTCCTTAATATAAGTAAAGGTCTTCTTATGAGCTATAATGATACTGCCTCTTATGATAAAGTATAGATTCTAACCTTTGTCTCCTTCCTATGATACTTATATAAATATGAATACTTACATCGAATAGCTTAAAGTCATCTGAGAGTGTTTCCTTCTTTAATACAAATGTGAGTTCACTTAAGAACTAAATATCAAAGTTCCTGAACAACATGGTATTATGTAACATCTTTCCATTCATATGGATGATAAGTTCTAGTCTTAAACTTTCGCTAAGCATGTCAAGAACTTCCTCTTCTTCTAACTTATACTACCTTTTATATTCCTAATAAAATTTTCAAGCAAGGGTGAATTATATTTACCACAACATAATCAAGATATCTTTTTACTTAAGTTCTAAAATCTGCAGGTAGTTTATGATGAACCATGAATTACTTTACTTAGAGTGCTTTAGTCCTAAATGATATAATAAGGAGATTCGATAAACTTACTTAAATTCTTGAATAATAGTCTCACTTTTTTCTAATACTGATCCAATGTAACCAACTAGATAAGCGAAGACAGCACAAGCCCCAATCATGCAGAACATTACATAGATCTTTTCTATTACTGAGACTGGGTAAATATCTCCATATCCAATTGTGGCCATAGTAAGGAATGCCCAATAAATGCTTGTAATGTATAATGAATCAAAGTCACTCATATCATTTAAGTTTGCTAGCCTTAGCCAATTATCTGAATGAAAACTTGCTTCGAAATTAGCAATTGCAAAAAAAAAACAGCCAACCCAGTGAATGATAAAAAATACTATTACAAATAGTTTTGCAAAGTCAATAATTAAGTTCACTGAATCATTCAAGAAGAATTCCTCAAACTACATTGTAATTAATCAAAATAACAAAGGATGATACCTTGTAAACGAGATTCTTAAGCTTTAATAGTCTAAGGAGTTTCAAGACTCTCATAAATCTGATTATTCTTATGAGTCTTAAAAGTTATGGAGCCTTTAAATTTGTTTGAGAATAGTTAGGAGAATCTTCATCAGCATTATCGTCTTTATCTGCGTTGTCGATAATCCAAGTATAAGGGAATGAAGCTAACAGATCTAGTACAAACCACGTTTATAAATAGTTTGTAATAATCAATCTCCTGTTCATTATCAAGTTGCCTTGCTTATAGTATCCTGTGAAGAATGATAAAACTATATTTGTTTAGCAAATCTTTTCTTACCTAGGTCAAATATGAAATAGACATCCATGATATACTCAATAATAGCAAGAGCACCATCAGCTGTGTCCCCGAAACTTAGCCTGTAAGGAATCATTATAGCTTAGTAAAATATCATAACCATCCCGAGCATATCCCATACAGTCTTGAGTGTGCTATCTGGATAAATCATTTTGCAGAATTTCCTTGAGTCTCTGTTTTGTTGAATCATAGTCAGTGTCAACTCACCTAAATTCTCAGTGTAATCATACTCCTCCTCTATAAAGAATTCTTCATGATTTTGGATTAGCTCGCTTGAAGACTTCTTTAAAGTCTTTTGTTCAGCTAGAGAGCCTTCTGGCCCAACTATACTTTTAAATATATCTCTGGTTTGATCAACCTCGCTGGTTCCGAAATAGCTATTCAAGTTGAAATCTTAATTAAAATTAGCTTGAGTGTTATTTAGACTTCTAGTGCTATTCTAATTATCCCCAAAACTAGATCTCCTGGATAATATTCCTTTAAGAGGGTCTGCCATTGAGAACTAATCGATAGTTTCCTAATTGCTAGGTGTTTGGGGTGCTTAGTTAGCATTCATGCTACTTTTCAGTTTACTATCAGTACCAATCATTTATGAGTTCATTTTTCCCTTTTCCTAATATTGCAGTCTCTTAATAAGAGACACGTTATCTAAAAATATTGAAATAAAAATTATTGACTTACTCTGAGCGGGAACAGTATCTCTTCTTGTATTTGCTTTTTAAAGCTTAGGGGTATTCTAAGAACTGCCTTTGCTACTAGCACTTTGCTTTGATTCATCATGTTGCTTGTTAGTGCTATTAAAAACCTTAAGAAATTATTTGTAAGCTCTTAGCTTTCTAATAGATTTTTCTATTCTATCTTTGTCATGCACCTGCTATTCTTGGGGATTAGATATCTAATTTATTAAATTAGTGACCGGAGATGGAGACTGCTATCCACTTTAAACTCAACTCAACTGCAGTGGAAAAATAAATTATTGCGTCTGGTTATTGACTGGGCTAGTTATCTGAATTTAGGGTGGCATGAAATTATTGACAGAAAAGGATGGCGGCTATAAAGAACTCTGATTAAAATCTATAGTAAAAAGAGGTTATGAAGTTTTTCTTACTCTAGCCTTAACTCATGTTTTATGTATTAACCTAGTTTTATGCCAAGATTTATGAAGCTTAAAGCTATTAAATTCCACTCAAGCTATTTTATTAAGGTATCTGAATGAAGTTATTTTGTAAAGGCTCTTGATTAGGTTGAGCTGAACCCCCATAGATCATATTATTGTTTATGATTTGAATGTTGACACCTTATGAAGATTAATTCAAGAACTAGTTGTTCTCCATTTAAAACTCCAATATTAATATATAATTCAAACGCTTTTTATTATTGAAATCAAGATAAGATATGCACAGCTTTATTAAATACTATTCACTTTTGTTTAATTTTAATTGATCAATCATTGAATGTCTCATCACTTCTTTCTAGTCTATTTCTCAGTTTTCTTGATAGAGCTATCCAGCTCCTCCGCAGAGTCATTTACTTCGATTAGGTTTTAAACAAGCTCAGGATCCACATAAAATTACTTTGGGATCTGACCTACTTTTTTCTTTGATTTTAACTTTTGTGAGTGTTTTACATCCCCAATTAGCAATGGTATCTTTTTCTTTTCTTTCTTTTGTTTTCTCAGTTCTTCTAGTTCTTATTGATTTTCGAGTAATTATTAAAGGGATCCTCCTTATCTGTAATCTTCAAGTGGCTAAAGTACATGCTTTTTGTCTTTTTGATATTTAGGAGAATCTGTGATTGATCTTTACATTATCATTTCATCATCTTCCTCTTCGTCAATCTGTTCAATATCCTAATTTTTCCTTTTCCTTGCTATGGATTGCCCCTAATATCCTCGACTATGCCTAAGTTTATCAAGTCCAAAGTCCACATTAATCTCGCTTTGGCTTCTTAACACAAACTAATTTTCTCCACTTCTCGTTGCATTTCCTCCTAGAGGTCTCTCACTGGATCTACCAAAAGTCTGTATTTCTGTAAGTTTATTGATTAGTGATATTTAAGATTCAATGCTCTATCTCATCAATAATGATTCTCTAGAAATAACACTCTCCTCATTAGAGTTTTCCTCAATCTAATCTATGTTTGCAGGTTTCAAAAACTTTTCATTTTTTAAATTTTGAATATAACTGGACTCAGTTAAGGGAACTATCTAAGCAAGATGATTAATCTTAGCAGTTTTCTGCTATGTATCTTAATTCCCCTGTCCTGAAGGAGATGGGCTCTCCTAAATTTTGTTTTACTCCTATCTGCTTCGCTTTGGAGAATTCATGGTTTCATCTTTCTTATATCTCTTCTCAAGATAGTTGAACATTTCTGTGATGCTGTTATCTTGGAGTTCAGAAGAGTTATTGTACTCAGCCTCAAAGCTGACTATACTATCCTCATTTCTTTCCTTTTTCTCTTTCTTAGTGTATTTTTCTTTAGCCAGTTTCTTTTTAAGTGCATTTTACTTCATCTTTTCCATAGCAATTTCTCTAAGATTGCCTTTAATGGTACTGAATTCAGAACAATCTACTGAAATGTGACCTAATTTATTGCAGATGTAGCAACTCACACCAAGAATAGTATAATCTTCACTTGTAAGGCAGAGTTACTATAGTTTGCTAAATTATTCTAGCTAATCTGGATGGTATTGAATCGCTTCCATAAAATCATTCATAAATAATGTCAAAGTTTCTGTAAAATTTTTTGACTTGGCACTGGCTTTACGAGGTAGGCCAGTAAAAAATGACAACTCACCCAAGAATGTATCATAAGATATTTCCTTTATATAAGTTGCAGTTTTCCTCTAGGTTAGATTAACATGACCCTTTGTCACATAATGTAAATGATCTCCTGTGTCATCCTCATCAAAGAGACGTTCATCGATAGTAAAGGTCTCTCTTTTGAGAATGAAAGTAATATCAAGCAAGAATTCAAGCTTAAACAAATTGAAAGGTGGGTTTTGGTGCAGCATTTTTCCATTGAGGTGAATAATTAATTCTTATTTAAGATTGTCTGACAGTAAATCAAAGACTTCATTTTCCTCCAGTTTATTCTCTCTTTTATTATACATAAGGTAGATGAGATACCTCTTGACCTTCTTTCTAAAATCTCGAGGTACTTTCAACTTTAAAAGATACTAATTGATTCTTATTATCCTCTCTCTATAAAATTATCATTAAAAAGTATCTTACTGATATTCGCCAACAATTTAATTGCTTCTGTCAAATAGAGCACCGAGAAAACCAACAATATATGCAAATATACCACAAGATATCATCATAGCCAGCATCGCAAAAACCTTCTCAACTTCTGTTACTGCATAGATATCACCATAACCTACAGTTGCAACAGTAGTGAAAGCCCAAGATATTGAAGCAATATAGACATCAATAGCAGACTTTAAGTCATCTTTATTTAGTAAGAGTAGCCATGTAGCCTAGCCTTTAGAGTCATCCTCAATATCTGCGATAAGAAAGAATATGCAAGACATCCAATGCAAGATAAATAAAACAGCTATCAGGACTTTAAATAAATCAGATAGTACTGTCACAGTATCATTAAAGAAAAACCATTCGTACTATATTATAAGTAAATTATCAACTTATAAAATAAAAACTTACTCTGTAAACAAACTTCCTTAGCTTGAAAATTTAAAACATTTTATACAGTCTGATTAGCCTGACTAGTTTAAGCAATCTTAATAATGCTGGAAGTCCAAAATCAGTAGCTGAAGTTGGGGTAAACACAGGTGGAAGTTAAGCAAGTATAGCGAATTTTTAAGTTTAAAAAAGATTATACTCCTCCCTGGTATCTGGAGCCTCTTCATGTTCTTCTGGCCAATACTCTATATGCTTGTCCTTAATGATCCTAATAAAAAATCAAAATCATTTTCACTTACCAACTATAGGGGAAGGTAGCTAAAATATCAATTATAAACCATGTTCTTAAGTAGTGCTTTATAATGACTCCTCTTTTCATTATCACATGCCCTCTTTTATAATACCCTGATACAAAACTCAAAACTAAAATATAAGATATATATAGTATGAATTCTTACCTAGATCAAACATAAAGAAGATATCAATAGCAGTTTCAAAGTACAGAAATTTGCCCTTGGCTTTTGACTTATAGCAAAATCTATAGGGGATAATCATGGCTTAGTAAATGATAAAAGCAAATCCAAGTAAATCCCAAGTGATCTTAAAATTGCTATCTGGATAGAGTGGCAGCCACCTACCTGTCTTATTTTTATTCTGTTAAATCTATCTTAAATTTAAGTCGCCCAAATAATCAGAGTAGTTAAAATCTTTCTCGAAATACACACCAAATTTCTCATCCTCTTTAACAGGCTCTATAATTATATCTTTAGAGGGGTACAATTCTTGCTAGCCTAAGACGAAATTGGTAGGGGTGACAGTTGATCTTTTCTAATTGCTCATGCTGTTATAGTCATCTGGAATGGTAATTATTCTGGAAGTATCTACAATAATCTACATTTCTGATGCTCTTGAATTCTTCATTATTGATTCATCTTTATCCTTTTGAGACACTAGCTAAATGGAACTCTCTTAGTCAGAGTCTTTTACTTTCTTTTTTTCAGATTCTCTCTTAGATGCCATTCCACTTGCCTACTGTGAATTTGAGTTACCTTGCATGAACTATGGCATTTTAATTTAAGACGGCAGTTTTAGAATGTTCAAGACACTACTGCCAAAGTCCTCTAGCAATCCGCCACTGTTCTTTTCATTCTCTTAAATTCTTAGAAAAGACTAGTATGCTCTCATTCTTTTAATCTTTTCATCATTGACTTCTTTTGATACTGGAATACCCTATGGTTTGTTATTCATTACTGTAAAGGAAGTGCGAGCAGTCAGTGTATTAGTACGAGGTAATGTTGCATTAGTGAACGAGGAACTTCTAGGCATTTAGGTGTTCTCATTCAACGACCTCCTTTATTAAATAATTTGCTATTCCTCCTCAATCAATTACTATTGCTAGGAAACTAGCACTTGCTTTTGCTCATTTAGGAAATTTCCAAATGCTTCCTACTACTCTGACTAAGATACAAAGTTTGAGAGCAGTTGAAGATATGCATCTAACTGGACTTACTACTAAGTTGGATTTTATATTTAAGCCTCGTGAGTGATGATTATATTTTAAGAAGGGTTATTCTGCTGTTAATTTAAATTTGGCTGAAAGCTCGGAGTATTTGAGTCACTCATTTTAAATATTCTTAATAATCTTATTAATATTCAATTTCATATTTAAAATTATTCTATAGGCAACTTATATTCAATGTGTCGGGGTTTTGGGGTTTTGGGGTTTTGGGG